TGATGGTAGGTCACAATTCACCAGGACAAATAGGAAGGGTGAACCTCCCCAACAGTGTCAAAAACAGCAATAAAGACCTGACAAGGGTTTCATCCATGTAGATCCAATGTAATGTACTGTACCTTTAAATCAAACTAATTTGGCTGTTATTATGAATAATCTGGGAGTTGCTCACTTTTCTGTTGGCTCTTTCTATGTGGCACAGGAACTTGTATACAAGCCCTTTCTGTTGAACAAGACTATTAGTTCGGATGAGATAACTTCCCTTTCAACATACCCTATCACCTTGACAAGTAATGTAAATACAATGTAATGTGTGCATATGGTTGGCCATAGACAATTCTTTTTTTTTTTTTTTGGAACAGCTAGCCAGGTGAAACGCATGTACTGCTCCATCCATACGTTTGAGGTGGACGGAGGAATCCTCTTCGCTGTGCTACTGTATTCTTATAGAAGGACTCCTCCAGTGCCAGAATACACTGATCCGTTCTGCTGCTGACTGGCTGCATGCACTCATCAAACACAGATTTCCCAACAGTCCCATTTGAGAGAAATTGATCACTACGTTGACTCCTCTTGAACAGGAATGGCCATAGATGGAGAGAGATTTGGCTGGTCCATACTGAACCGGCTGAATTGTGATCCATCAATGGCCAGCTTTACTGTAGTGCTCACATTATTAAAGTGAAACTTGACTCCCAAAAGGGAATTAGCTCCACATAAATTATCACTCCCCTTCCTGTCAAGCAGAACTGAGGGAAAAGTTCTCATTTTTAGTCCCGCCCTGGCCTAAACCTGAATGACGTGTACCTGGTCTTGCAGCTTCTCGGGATACTTACATCGCATCTCCAGGACACTACAGGATCAGCACACGGGGGGGGGGGGGGGGGGGGGGGTCAGAGATTGGGTGAACAGGATGCATCATCGGAGCTGGCTCCCTGCACCCAGAAAGGGCAGCCACTTAAAGAGGATCAAGATGGCGCTGCTGGACCCACATTGTGGCACCTGAGCAGTGTATCATAATGGGACAAAATTGGATTCCTTGTGCGGTTGAGTATGTACTTTGAAGAGCACTACAGCACTACAGGTAAAGAGGGAAAAATACCATGGGGTGGTGGGGGGAGTTGAGTACCGTTTTTAAAGAATCATTCTGCACATATGTTATATTTCTTTTACAAAAGGTTTTATTGATGTTTAGCAAAAATACAAAGATATGTCATGCATAGAAAAAAGCATGAAAATGTACAGGCTATACAAATACAAGAAAACAACAAGAACACATAAAGCAGTATGTACATTAGGCAATCGAGATGAAGAGCCAAATGAGGCAAAATGGAGAAAGAAAGAGCAAAAAGGAGAGGATAGAACAGAAGGGGAGAGAGATGAAGACATCCCGGGGGGTCAGGAGCGCAGGAATATCAAATTTCTAGTAACAGATGATCAAAACGCGATGGATGAGAGTGCAGTATCCAAGGTTGTTAAACATGAAGGAGTTTATTATAGGAATCTGTCAATATGGCTGTCAGTTTCTCATTGACCATGATGTCATTCATATGGTGCTCTACCTCTTCAAAGCTAAGGGCAGGAGACTTCCATGCTCCAGCAATGGTAAGCTTGGTCACTGTAGAAAGGTGAGCAGCGAGTTGTCATTCAGTACAAAAGAAAGCATCTACAGTGCGGCAAAAAAGTATTTAGTCAGCCCCCAATTGTGCAAGTTCTCCCACTTAAAAAGATGAGAGAGGCCTGTAATTGGCATCATAGGTAGACCTCAACTATGAGAGACAAAATGAGAAAAAAAAATCCAGACAATCACATTGGCTGATTTGGAAAGAATTTATTTGCAAATTATGGTGGAAAATAAGTATTTGGTCACCTACAAACAAGCAAGATTTCTGGCTCTCACAGATCTGTACCTTCTTCTTTAAGAGGCTCCTCTGTCCTGCACTCATTACCTGTATCAATGGCACCTGTTTGAACTTGTTATCAGTATAAAAGACACCTGTCCACAACCTGAAACAGTCACACTCCAAACTCCACTATGGTGAAGACCAAAGAGCTGTCGAAGAACACCAGAAACAAAATTGTAGACCTGCACCAGGCTGGGAAGACTGAATCTGCAATAGGCAAGCAGCTTGGTGTGAACAAATCAACTGTGGGAGCAATAATTAGAAAATGGAAGACATACAATCTGGGGCTCCATGCAAGATCTCACCCCGTGGGGTCAAAATGATCACAAGAACGGTAAGCAAAAATCCCAGGACCACACGGGGGGACCTATTGAATGACCTGCAGAGAGCTGGGACCAACGTAACAAAGGCTTCCATCAGTAACACACTACGCCGCCAGGGACTCAGATCCTGCAGTGCCAGACGTGTCCCCCTGCTTAAGCCAGTACATGTCGGGCCTGTCTGAAGTTTGCTAGAGAGCATTTGAATGATCCAGAAGAGGATTGGGAAAATGTCATATGGTCAGATGAAACCAAAATAGAACTGTTTGGTAGAAACACAACTCGTGTTTGGAGGAGAGAGAATCCTGAGTTGCATCCAAAGAACACCATACCTACTGTGAAGCATGGGGGTGGCAACATCATGCTTTGGGGCTGTTTCTCCGCGAAGGGACCAGGACGACTGATCCATGTACAGGACAGAATGAATGGGGCCATGTATCGTGAGATTTTGAGTGCAAACCTCCTTCCATCAGCAAGGCATTGAAGATAAAACGTGGCTGGGTCTTCCAACATGACAATGATCCCAAACATACCGCCCGGGCAACGAAGGAGTGGCTTCGTAAGAAGCATTTCAAGGTCCTGGAGTGATCTAGCCAGTCTCCAGATCTCAACCCCATAGAAAACCTTTGGAGGGAGTTGAAAGTCCGTGTTGCCCAGCGACAGCCCCAAAACATCACTGCTCTAGAGGAGATCTGCATGGAGGAATGGGCCAACATACAAGCAACAGTGTGTGCCAACCTTGTGAAGACTTACAGGAAACGTTTGACCTCTGTCATTGCCAACAAAGGATATATAACAAAGTATTGAGATGAACTTTTGATGTTGACCAAATACTTATTTTCCACCATAATTTGCAAATAAATTCTTTCCAAATCAGCCAATGTGATTCTCTTGATTTTTTTTCTCATTTTGTCTCTCATAGTTGAGGTCTACCTATGATGCCAATTACAGGCCTCTCTCATCTTTTAAAGTTGGAGAACGTGCACAATTGGTGGCTGACTAAATACTTTTTTGCCCCGCTGTATAGGTTTGAAGAATAGAGCTTCACAGGGGTGTAGCAATGTAGGAAGCAAGGCGTAGACTTGAATCCATAGTTTACTCTTTTCGGCAAAACCACCAAATATGCACCATTGTTCTTGGCTGGGCACATCCATGGAAACAAATCAAGGGATAATTAGGGACAATACGAGCTTGATGAGCCGGCGTATAACATATTCGGTATAACAATTTATAAACATTCTCAAGTATGGTGACACATTTTCGAGCATTTGGCAATAGCCATGGTCATGATCTGCCAGTCCTCAAGAGCCAGTTCCACGCCTAGTTCACATTCCCACTGCTGTCAATGTGGTCGTACAGGAGGTTGCTTGATAGAGATTATTGAGGAATAAAGCAATGCAATAAGGTCTGTCAAATGAGGGCATGACTGACAAAGAACATCAGGCTGTATAAAGTAGATTGGGAATGAAGAAGTCCAGAGAGAAAGTGACAAAGCTACAGATAGCAATAATGTTTGTGCAAAGATATCTTGTGAGAGAATCAAAGAGTGTCAAAGGTTAGGATCCTGTTGGGAGTGACAAGAGTGAACATCTCTAAAGGCGTGCTCAGGCCAAATGTTATATTTCAATGAGCCGCTGGGGAGTAAAACCACCTAACGCTTTCTTAAAACACTTGAGGTCTCCAGATAGATGGGGAACTTAACTCCAGAAATGAAGTTTGTTCCTTTCAAACCCTCCCCCCTCTGCACTTGCAAATGTGTAATACAACAGCAGGGTGTAGCGCTCAGATAAAATACATATAAAACAAAAAGGAAATTAAATCGTGTCTAAATGACGTAGTTCAAGCATCAATAAATAAATATCAATGGTACTCCTAAAAATCACAGAATAAGTGATAAAGTGACACAGTACAAAAATAAGATAAGTGTAGTGCGTCACTAATCAGTGACTCGCCATGTGCACAGTGCCATGTATAAGTCCAAATATTAAAGTGCCTAGGAGTCTCCCGGATCCAAATGACTGGTCCTGATAGTTGGTGATGAGGAAAAAGTGTAAAGACTGCGCACTCACCAGATACGCAATCACACTGCGCATTTAGAGATACCGTATTTTCCGGCGTATAAGATGACTGGGCGTATAAGACAACCCCCTAATTTCCTGTTAAAATATAGGGTTTGGGCTATACTCACTGTATAAGACTACCCCTCTTCCAACGCACACCAAATAAAAATGAAAAAACATCAGATTTGATTTCAATATGGTATGGTATTTCAGTATGGTATTCCAATGATGGGGTGCTATTCCTCCCACTGACACCAATGATGGGGCACGATTCCTCGCTCTGACACCAATGATGGGGCACGATTCTTCGCTCTGACACCAATGATGGGGCACTATTCCTCCCACTGACACCAATGATGGTGCCCCATCATTAGTGTCAGTGTGGGAAGAATCATTGGTGTTAGTGGGAGGAATAGTGTCCCATCATTGGTGTCAGTGGGAGGAAACGTGCCCCATCATTGGTGTCAGAGCAAGGAATCGTACCCCTTCATTGGTATCAGTGGGAGGAATAGTGCCCTATCATTGGTATCAGTGGGAGGAATAGTGGCCCATCATTGGTATCAGTGGGAGGAATAGTACTCCATCGGTGTCAGTGGGAGAAATAGTGCCCCATCATTTGTGTCAGTGGGAAGAATCGTGCCCCATCATTGGTGTCAGTGGGAGGAATAGTGTCCCATCATTGGTGTCAGTGGGAGGAAACGTGCCCCATCATTGGGGTCAGAGCGAGGAATCGTGCCCCATCATTGGTGTCAGTGGGAGGAATAGCACTCCATCATTGGTGTCAGTGGGAGGAATAGCGCCCCATCATTGGTGTCAGTGGGAGGAATCGTGCCCCATCATTGGTATCAGTGGGAGGAATAGTGCCCTATCATTGGTATCAGTGGGAGGAATAGTGGCCCATCATTGGTGTCAGTGGGAGGAATAGTGCCCCATCATTAGTATCAGTGGGAGGTATAGTGCCCCATCATTGGTATCAGTGGCAGGAATAGTGCCCCATCATTAGTATCAGTGGGGAGAATAGTGCCCCATCTTTGGTGTCAGTGGGAGGAATCGTGCCCTGTCATTGGTGTCAGTGGGAGGAATAGTGTCCCAACATTGGTATCAGTGGGAGGAATAGTACCTCATCATTGGTGTCAGTGGGGGAAGGAATAGTGTTCCATCATTGGTGTCAATGGGGGGTGGAATAGTGCCCCATCATTGGTGTCAGTGGGGAGGAGGAATAGTGCCCCATCGTTGGTGTCAGTGGGGAGGAGGAATAGTGCCCCATCATTGGCGTCAGTGGGGGGAGGAATAGTGCCCCATCGTTGGTGTCAGTGGGAGGAATAATGCCCCATCGTTGGTGTCAGTGGGAGGAATAATGCCCCATCATTAGTATCAGTGACACCAATGATGGGGCACTATTCCTCCCACTGACACCAATGACACTTGCTGACCCCTGTTCCAGCATGGTGCTGCTGCAGCCAGCATACGTGATTGCAGCAGCACCTCTGCACGGCACACTTACCGGCCGCTCCCTCACTCGATTTTTGCGGGGCTGCTCGGCTCTGCCTCCTCGCCGGTGATTGGCCGCCTTTGTGCCTTTCCTCAGCTACAGTTCTGGCGCCCAATCACCGGTGAGGAGGCAGAGCCAAGCGTCCACGCGAACATCGAGCGGCCGAACTGAATGAAGGAGCAGTCGCGCTTCCTGGACTGGATCATCGTGGGACTGGGACTGGAGCCAGGTAAGAAACAGCAGCCCCCTGCCTGCCCCTGTACTTAGTGTCCCTTCCGCTGGAAGAGGAGGGGGCGGCGGGCACACATTGGCACCGCGCTGCCCCCCTAAAAAGTGTGCCGCCCTGACACCAAGGGGTTTATTACTAAAGCTGGAGAGTGCAAAATCAGACTCACTTCTGCATAGAAACCAATCAGCTTCCAGGTTTCATTGCCAAAGCTTCATTGAACAAGCTGAGGTTAGAAGCTGATTGGTTTCTATGCAGAAGGGAGTCTGATTTTGGACTCTCCAGCTTTAGTAAATAAACCCCCAAGTGTCAGCATGCCGTATACCGGCGTATAAGACGACCCATGACTTTTGAGAAGATTTTCATGGCTTAAAAAGTCGTCTTATATGCCGGAAAATACGGTATCTATCTCAAAGAACCAGGGTGCCCCTTTAAGGTCTGGTCAGGTCTGGTGTCCCTCTTAAGCCGACTTCTACTGCCCGTGGGTAGCTTGCCTCCTCTGTGGATGGTAAGAGCTCGTGGAGAGCTCAGAAAAGAGGAGGCTGATGGCGTAATAACATTTACACAGAGGGTGCTTTATTAGCCAAATAAAAGTACAAAAAAACACACTGACCAGTAATGGTGTTCCAGGGTGGCTGCCGGGACCACTAAAGTGCCAGCAGTGTGGCGTCCTAGTGCTGTAGCCCCTAGGACGCCACGCTGCCGACACTTCACATCTCCCAGGAGGCTGCAGGACCAGTAACACAAAGTGGTAGGGGGATGGCCACTGTGCAGCATTGATAGCTGGCTTCCTGAACTTGGAAAAGTTATGCATTGGCAGTATGGGCTCCAGCGTAGACCTGTGTCCACAGCTAAAAGCACCAACAAAGTGCACATGAGCATCAAATCTGAATCACAGAGCAGTGGAGGAAGGTGGCCTGGTCTGATGAATTCAAGAATCGTTTGAGGAATACAACAATGAGTTTGAGGTGTTGACTTGGCCTTCAAATACTGAAGAACTCAATCCAATTGAGTATTTGTGGGATGTGCCAGCAAAACAAGTCTGATCCATGGGGGCCCCATCTTGCAACTTACAGGACTTAAAGTGGTTAATGCATTCCTTGTTGCCGATTGGCTGGTGCCAAATACTGCAGCACACCTTTAGAGGTCTAGTGGCATCCATACCTCGATGGGTCAAGGCTGTTTTGGCAGCAAAAGGGGGATCTACTCTATATTAGGTGGGTGGTTATAATAATGAAGCGAGGTGCTACCTATATCATTATGCCTTTCAGGGACATTTACAGATGTGACTATGATTAATCCTTTTTCCCCTAGGGTCCAGTACTGGGACTGCTACATCACTTCCTGTTAGCAGAGTGCATCCAGTTATTCTGACAGCAGAAGATCTTGGGGCCTGCAGTCCTATAGCCAATACATACTGTATTCCTGAGTGCTGATTGAACTATAACTACCAGAGCGGATAGCGTATGTACTCTCCAGCGCCTCAGGATATGCACAGCCAAAAGGGAAGCCAAGGGTACCAGGACAGCGACAACCAAAAGGAAATGTTCCAGGGGTGCAGCCCTCCTCAGACGGGGAAACCAGCCACTGGATAGAGAGAAAACAGGTGGCGCACACACCTAGTGCATTATCCAAGGTTTATTGTAGGAATTAAATCATAAAAACATACTCACAGGCGAAGCATGTATCTAAAAAGCATAGAAAAATGACAATGGCCACAACGGAGGGCAAGGTGTTCTCACTGTCAGTGCGGTCAAATGGCTGACGCGTTTCGGGGAAGAATCCCTTTCCTCAGAGCTGATGACCAACCTCTGATGTATGATGAATGGAAAGTAAAGTAAGAGCCTCGCTGTTGATCAACAGCAAGGCTCTTACTTTACTTTCCATTCATCATACATCAGCATCAGAGGTTGGTCATCAGCTCTGAGGAAAGGGATTCGTCCTCGAAACGCGTCAGCCATTTGACCGCACTGACAGTGAGAACACCTTGCCCTCCGTTGTGGCCATTGTCATTTTTCTATGCTTTTTAGATACATGCTTCGTCTGTGAGTATGTTTTTATGATTTAATTCCTACAATAAACCTTGGATAATGCACTAGGTGTGTGTGCCACCTGTTTTCTCTCTATAACTACCAGAGAGCTGGGGAACAAGAAGGTTGCTGGGAGAGCAGATATATTCTACAGCAAGGGACTGGCTCGCTCTCTTGGTGTGAGATGCAGAGCTGAACACGGGGACTGCCGTTCTCCTCCAGAGACGGATTCTTTGCCTATACCTGCGGAACTCTGCACATCAGTTCAGCACAGCGGTGATGCCGACTGGCACACCGGGATCGCATCAGCTTCTCTGCATCAGGGCTGTTACTATCCAGTCTTCACACAGACATCTCTGCTTGATGCGCTGTCAGGTGGTAACTGCACACCCCTGCAAACAACCAAGAGCCTGTGCAAGAACCCTGTTCCTAGGAGGCCATGCTATTCAAAGGATTGGTGAGCGGGCAGATGCCCAACCACTTTCTGTCATCACTCTAAATACACTGAATGCAGATACCTTTACACCTATCAGGAGATCTTTGCTTTGAGCAGTACCACAGCCTATCTGTTTAACTTAATTGAATTACCATTACTCACCACTGTTTAAGGGCCCCTTCATTGCTAGCAGAAGACAACAAACACCACCCTATCAGGAACTTAAAACTTCACAGGACTCAAGTTGCAATCTCTAGTTAAAGGAACCTCTTTTCTTATAAGGTCATTATTATTCAAATTAGGAAACTTATTTATGTTAGAGCACACATTTTCATAATTCTCTGAATCCACCATTGTGGAGCTGGTGGCTTAGAGGGAGCTGATGAGTAAACAAGCCTTTTCTTCCCCCTCGTACTGCTGCTGTTGTGGTTTAACCACTTCAAGTCCGGACACTTTTACCCCCTTCCTGTCCAGGCCAATTTTCAGCTTTCAGTGCTATCACACTTTGAATGACAACTGCACGGTCATGCAACACTGTACCCATATGAATTTTTTTAGCATTTTTTGAGACAGATAAAGCTTTATTTTTGTGGTATTTATTCACTACTGGGATTTTTGTTTTTTTTTGCTATATAAATGAAAAAGTCCAAACATTTTGAAAAAAAGTGTTTTTCTTATACAATTTTGCAAATAAATAATCTTTCTTCATAAATCTTGGCCAAAATGTATTCAGTTATCTTTTTAGTAAAAAAAAAATAGCCCAAATTAGTTTATAACCAAAAATTAATAAATATAAACTACGGTATCCAAAACAGAAAAAATACCAAACTAAACCCTTTAGCATTTAGTTCTAACTTTCACCCTTGAAAGTGTAAATAATCTCAATATCACCCCAATATGCTCAAAACAAATTACAATATGAATGCAAAATGTGAAAAACATACAATATACAGAAACCCCAAAACATTATAAATAATAAAAATATATAAAAATTAGTTCACTCGTGTCCAAAAGTAAAAGTCATTCCAAACTCTGATTCCAATATGGAAAAAATTTTTTCCCTGAATCTTTATTGCCGAACCCTCCAATTGGCTCCCAAAGAAAATGTGAACCTCCAAAAAAGAGAACTCATATAGTGCATTAACTTTATAAAATAAATAAATAAATATCAATAATTATCAATCCTGAGCCTCCCCGAGTATGATGCAGAGTGCCCAGTGGGTAATATTCCTGGTATCCCTGAGGTAGTATGCAGAGGGTCAGCGGGTAATACTCTGAATCTCCCCAAATATAATACACAGTGCTCAGCAGGTAATAATCCGAATCTCCCCAAATATAATGCAGAGTGCTCAGCGGGTAATAATCCGAATCTCCCCAAATATAATGCAGAGTGCTCAGCGGGTAATAATCTGAATCTCCCCAAATATAATGCAGAGTGCTCAGCGGGTAATAATCCGAATCTCCCCAAATATAATGCAGAGTGCTCAGCGGGTAATATTCCTGCGATCCCCGGAGTATTAAGCAGAGTGGCTGCGGGGGTCTCGCCTCAGCGCAAACCTCCCAGCAGCTCGCAGCGGAATGGAACACACAGGAGAGTCCTGTCTCAGCCTTCTTAAGGCTTAGCAGGACGCTCCCAGTTGCCCTGGCAACGTCCAGCCCCCAGCGCCGCGTTGCTAGGGCAACGAGGCACGCCCCCTTGACACAGGCCGCGCTCTTGAGAGCGCAACCTTTGTCTCCGGTGGGTGCAGGCGCGGGAAGCCTCGTGCCAGCGCTGCATCTGCCGGGAGGGCGTGCGGCGACAGGCCGGTGGCCCTGCTGCGGAACCTCCCAACGGGAGGTCATCCCTCTTTGGGCTGTATGGCCAGGAGAGGTGTGAATCTCGCCGCGGGGGGTCATCTTCCTCCCACCTGACTGCGCCAGATGGAAGTGACCCCGGCAGGAGGGAAAATTGGCACTTCTCATCCTGTGTGGCAGGACTTCAAAGGGCGGCTACAGGATGAGAAGGGGGGGGTGTGAAGGGACACAGGCACTAGGAGGGGGTGGGGGAATCCCGGAGCAGGCACGCCATGACAATAACCAAAAATTATAATTAAAAAAAAATTTTTTTTTACTATATTATTTTTTATATTATTATTTGTGTGTTTTTTTTACATACTGTCACCCTAGCAGTACATGGTGACACTGTACTACTTGTGGGGGGTTATGAAGATTTTTTTTTTTTAACACTGATTGCTTTTACACCCATAAAGGCTGTAAAAGCAATAATTTCTCCTTCTCTCTGGCTGAATTCTTGTAGCCATTGAGAAATACGGTGTGAGCTGTGATTGGTCACAGCTTGTCACATGGTACAAGGCATTTGTGATTAGCCTTGTACCATGTGACCTCTGTGATCATTCACAGATTTCACACGTAGTAAGCAATGATGTCAGAAGTGACATCTTGCTTACTACTCTGCATGTGATCACTGATTGGCCAATCAGTGATCACATGATCGGACCTTGCACAGAGGTCCCATACAGCGATCGGTGTTCCACTGTGTCTGGAGGACACATCGGGCACCGGATCACAGTGCTGCACGCAGGGGTGGACTGACCATTTGAGCACTCGGGCACTGCCCGAGGTCAGTATGGGGCCCCATGAAATGCCCCTGGTACCTTTTATATGCTTTTTTTGAGTGTGGGCAAGGACACAGGGGCCCCATGATCCCCTATTGCCTGGGGGCCCCATGAGTTGCCAGTCCGCCCCTGGCTGCACGCTCCCTGGGAGTGCGCACAAGCAGGGGGCAGGGAGGCCCCTGCCAGGACGGCCACCCGACCCTGCACTGCCACCGTCCGGCCGTTTATATACAAAGGCCAGACGGAAGTGGTTAATAGTTCAAACTTCCTACTTTTGACTGTATACTTTATTAACTGCTACTAATTGATTATTTGTTTTACCAGTGTTCTATTTTTATGTTAAGAGGGGTTGTATATCCTAAACCCAATATTCTTGTGGTCTGTTCTTTTGATCAAGTCTAATATAAAGGTGCTGCTAAAGAATTGTGTTCTTGTATTATTATCCTATACTGTTAAAATATGTGTGAACTCCGAGTGTCAGAGGTGTCTGGAGGCTTGCAAGGTCAGGGCAACCACTGAGGACAAGCATGATGAAGCGGCCCCTGCGGGGGCAGCGCTACATTAGTATGACTGGGCTGTACTTATAGAAACCTTTGAGGAGTTCCCCCATTTTGATTTTAATGGGATTCTGTACTGATCAGAATAACACTTTTTTGGCTCCTTTTCTGCGTGCTGAAACGTCCATGTATGTATGTGGGTGACCCATGACAGCAGTAAACGGGAAGTCAGCACCCAAACATACCTACATATGGTTCTGGTACATGGCATGGACAATTCTAGGACAGAGGAAATATCTCTTCTGCACACTATGACACACGATGACATTCAGAGTCTGGATGGAGTGTGTTCTGTCTGCAGCAGCGTAGGGAGGCAGTGATCGGCGCATGCCCACAACTCCGATTGGCCCCGCGGACGCGCACAGGAGCGCGCACGCAACTTGGATGGCTCTGACAGGGGCATCATCATCGGCGAACAGGAAGCAGAGCGCTCCATCGTGCTGAAACTTTGTGCAGAAAAAGAGCCATCCCAGCCGCTCCTCATCCCTTCCCCTGCCAGAGCAACCCAGGCCACTTCACACAGCCCACCAATCCAGAGCCTGGCCGCGGGCACAGCGACCAATGAGAAGGCGCTGAGGACAGGCAGCGGCGATTATAGAGCGGTGTGCGGGAGGCGGCCTGAGCCATCACTGTGGTGACGATGATCCGTGCGGGGGGCTCGGCTCTACTTAGAGACCTTCTCCGGACTGCCTCCAGGAGGCCTCTCATCCTCCGCACCACAGCCCGACAATGGCCCTCCGGAGAGGAGCGGGGAGGAGGGAGCGGCGTCCACCGGCTCTGGATGTCCGCTACGAGCCGGCAATTCTGCTCCAAGTCCGACGAGTCGGCCGCGTCAGGGGCGGAGAAGAAGAACGCTGCTGATGGAGCCAAGGCCCCCACGGAGGAGAAGTAAGTGGAGGGCGATGGGTGTGCCGTGACGTCACTCGGTCTCTCCGCTGAGGAATGGGGGGGAACGGGCCACGTAGCCTGATGTAGTATTACCGGTCTGTTCCTGTCCCCCCCCCTTCATCAGAGTGGATTCGACCAAGACTCATCTGACAGCTCGGGGGACTCGCCTTTCACTTGCACACTCTGTTCATCATCACACAACATTATCGTAGAGGATACGGATCGGTATGATCATAGGGGATACGGATCGGTATGATCATAGGGGATACGGATCGGTATGATCATAGGGGATACGGATCGCTATGATCATAGGGGATACGGATCGCTATGATCATAGGGGATACGGATCGCTATGATCATAGGGGATACGGATCGCTATGATCATAGGGGATACGGATCGCTATGATCATAGGGGATACGGATCGCTATGATCATAGGGGATACGGATCGCTATGATCATAGGGGGCGCGGGGGCGCGGATCGCTATGATCATAGGGGGCGCGGATCGCTATGATCATAGGGGGCGCGGATCGCTATCTACATCACTATGATAATAGAAAACACACACTATTATTGTCATAGAGTATACAAATCACTATCCATACCACTATGGTCATAGAGGATTCGCATCATAATTATCATAGAGGATACAGATCACTATGTACATCGCTATGATCAGAGAGGATACAAATCCGTATCCACATCACTATGATCCTAGATCATACATCATTATCATGAAGAATTGTATTCACAGTTGAACCGTTATCATAGGAAGTATGTCAAGACAATTTAAAGTGGAACTCTAGGCCAACTTTATTTTTTTTAATCTGCCTTAAAGCACAACCAAACCCTCCTATTTCTTTCAGCCAAGGAAGCTGCCATCTAAATTCACTGAAGCTCTCTAGGGGAGAGAAGAAACACTTAAGCTCTTCATGCAATCATCAGTTTTTCTTGATCAGGCAGCTGATTGACTGAAAAAACTGAATGGATTCCCTCATCCATATATTTGAGGTGAATAAGTGAATCCTGCATAATCATAATACACTGATCATTTCTGCAGTGGATTGGCTACAGGGCTGATTGAGCACAAATTCCCAACAAGCCTGTTTGTGAGAAGTCAGTCATTAGATCAACTTCTCACAAACGGGAACAACCATAGATGGATCAAAATTTCAATCAATCTTTGGCCAGCTTACCTGATCCTCCGCTCCCCGAGGAGATGGTGCTACCCCATGCTTCGGCAGTGGACTGTCCCTCGGCGTCATCACGTTCATTGCAGGGCTATGGACCCTGCTTTGGTATTGAAGACATCAGGACCCTAGACTGGTGGAGCATGTGGGAGAAGTTGCAGGGAGCCATAGAGCATCAGGTAAGTAAATCTTTTGTTGCCCAGACAAAACTAGCAACTAATCTTTGCACTGTGGGCACAGTCCCACTGAAGGGATACGTTTTTAGCTGTCCGGAGTTGGGCTTTAAAGTGCAACTAAAATGCAAACAATAAAAGTAGTGAACAGGCAAGTGTTTATTGCAGAAGAAAACTGCTCAGTGTCTCTGCAATAAACAAACTTATGTGTTTGTTCACAATCTCCTGTAGGATGTACACCAAGCATCACATGCCCAGTTTACATTCTCAGCACCAGAATGAATAAATGTGATACAGTAAAAGGCCAATCACAGCGGCCTTTTACTACGTGATCATCTGTGTCCAATAACACAGCAGATCACCGGGTAAATACAGTTGCCGGTTTTCGGCTGCACTTTCCTTACGCTGTCACAGCGTGAGGAAAGTACTGCCGAGAACCTGCAATTGTCAACGAAGGGATCGGCACCAATAATCAGGGCACTGATCAGTTCCGCCCACCTGTGCCCATCGGTGCTGCCCACCTGTACCCATAAGTGCCTAGCAGTGCCACCCACCTATGCCCAGCAGTGCCTCCTATCTGTGCAGCATTATCAGTGCTGCCTATCAGTGCTGCCTATCAGTGCTGCTTATCCGTGCCACCTCATCAGTGCTGCCTATCAATGCCTCCTATCAGTGCCCATCAGTGCTGCCTATCCGTGCCACCTTATCAGTGCTGCCTATCCATGCCACCTCATCAGTGGCCATCAGTGCTGCCTATCCGTGCCACCTCATCAGTGGCCATCAGTGCTGCCTATCCGTGCCACCTCATCAGTGGCCATCAGTGCTGCCTATCCGTGCCACCTCATCAGTGGCCATCAGTGCTGCCTATCCGTGCCACCTCATCAGTGGCCATCAGTGCTGCCTATCCGTGCCACCTCATCAGTGGCCATCAGTGCTGCCTTACCGTGCCACCTCATCAGTGGCCATCAGTGCTGCCTTACCGTGCCACCTCATCAGTGGCCATCAGTGCTGCCTATCCGTGCCACCTCATCAGTGGCCATCAGTGCCGCCTATCTGTGCCACCTCATCAGTGCCGCCTATCCGTGCCACCTCATCAGTGCCCATCGTGCTGCCTATCCGTGCCACCTCATCAGTGGCCATCAGTGCTGCCTATCCGTGCCACCTCATCAGTGGCCATCAGTGCCGCTTATCCGTGCCACCTCATCAGTGCCGCCTATCTGTGCCACCTCATCAGTGCCCATCGTGCTGCCTATCCGTGCCACCTCATCAGTGCCCATCAGTGCTGCCTATCCGTGCCACCTCATCAGTGGCCATCAGTGCCGCTTATCCGTGCCACCTCATCAGTGCCGCCTATCTGTGCCACCTCATCAGTGCCCATCGTGCTGCCTATCCGTGCCACCTCATCAGTGCCCATCAGTGCTGCCTATCCGTGCCACCTCATCAGTGCCCATCAGTGCTTCCTATCCATGCCACCTCATCAGTGCCCATCAGTGCTGACTATCCGGGCCACCTCATCAGTGCCGCCTATCTGTGCCACCTCATCAGTGCCCATCGTGCTGCCTATCCGTGCCACCTCAGCAGTGCCCATCAGTGCTGCCTATCCGTGCCACCTCAGCAGTGCCCATCAGTGCTTCCTATCCGTGCCACCTCATCAGTGCTGACTATCCGTGCCACCTCATCAGTGCCCATCAGTTCTGCCTATCCTTTCCACCTCTACAGTGCCCATCAATGCTGCCTATCAGTGCAGCCTCATCAAAGCACATCAGTGAAGGAGAAAAATTACCTGTTTGCAAAATTTTATATTCGAAACAAAGAAACTTTTTTTTTTGTTCGTTTATAGCGCAAAAAATAAACACCCCAGTGGTGATTAACCACTTGCCTACCAGGCACTTATACCCCCTTATTTACCAGGCCAATTTTCAGCTTTCAGCGCTGCCGCACTTTGATTGACAATTGCGCAGTCATGCAACATTGTACCCATATGAAATGTTGATCATTTTTTTTCTCACAAATAGAGCTTTCTTTTGGTGGTATTTAATCGCCACTGGGCGCTTTACTTTTTGCGCTATAAATTAAAAAAGTGCGAAAAAATTTGAAAAAAAAAAAAGTTTCTTTGTTTCTATTATAAAATTTTTCAAACAGGTAATTTTTCTCCTTCACTGATGTGCGTTGATGAGGCAGCACTGATGGGCACTGATAGGCGGCACTGATAGGCAGCACTAAAGGGCACTGAGAGGCAGTTCTAATGAGGTGGCATGGATAGGCGGCACTGATAGACAGCACTAATGAGGTGTCACGGATAGGCGACACTAATATGCAGCACTGATAGGCGGCACTGATAGGCGACACTGATGATGGGTACTGACTGGCGGCACTGACTGGCATCACTGCTGGGCACTGACTGGCGGCACTGACTGGCACAACCGCTGGGCACTGACTGGTGGCACTGACTGGCAGCACTGGTGGGTGGCACTGGTGGGCAGCACTTCTGGGCGCAGGTAGGTGGCACTTCTGGGCACAGGTAGGTGGCACTTCTGGGCACAGGTGTGTGACACTGCAGAGTGGCACAGGTGGGTGCACTGCTGGGCACAGGTGGGTGCACTGCTGGGCACAGGTGGGTGCACTGCTGGGCACAGGTGGGTGATCTGCTGGGCACAGGTGGGTGGAGCTAGTGGGCGCACTGCTGGGCACAGGTGGGCGGAACTTGCGGGTGGCACTGCTGGGCACCGATCATCAGGGCACTGATCATCAGTGCCCTGATGATCGGTGCCCATCCCCGCTCTGACAACTGCCGGTTCTCGGCAGTACTTTCCTCACGATCTGACAGCGTGAGGAAAGTGCAGTCGAGAACCGGCACTTGCATTTCCCTCTGATCAGCGTGTCATTGGACACCGCTGATCACGTGGTAAAAGGCCGCTGTGATTGGCCTTTTACCACATCACGTGATCAGCTGTGTCCGAAGGACACAGCAATCACGGAGATCGCCGGGTGCGCGCCCCCTGGGGCGCGCAGGAGAGCGCGTTCTGGGAGGACGTCATATGACGTCCACTCAGAACTGGCCGGCCGCAGTGCAGCCGTCATTCGGCTATCTGCGGTCGGCAACTAGTTAAATACCACCAAAAGAAAGCTCTATTTGTGTGAAAAAATGATAAAAATATTTCATATGGGTGCAGTGTGCATGACCGCGCAAATTGTCATTCAAAGTGCGACCGTGCTGAAAGATGAAAATTGGCCTGGGCAGGAAGGGGGGTGGAATGCCCAGTAAGCAAGTGGTTAAACAAATGACAGCGATAGAATGTGGTATACTCCTTATTAGACTTAACTTTTTTCTTTTCACTGCAGGTTTAAAAAAAAAAAACCAAAAAAACACCTGCAATTGTGCTTTAAAGCAATTCCACCATGATACACTGAGCAGGCAGTCATAGTATTGCTGAAGAGACATGCAATGTCTCTTCTGCAAAAAAACATATCTACCTGTCTTCTTCCAGCAATCCCCAGACTGTAAAATGAGCTGCTCAGTTTACAGTGGTGAGGCCAATCCTGTGTGCTGGGATGACTAGCTCTTGCACGTGCACAGGGGTGACCTTATTGCACGCTGGCCACTGAAGCTGGCTGAAACTCTCCACACAGGATAAGATGCTGGTGAGGGATGTTGGGAAAATGAGTATCCTCCATTTTGTTCCGCTGTAACGTAATGTGGGTGCTCGTGTAATCTAATATCCCTGATGAGTTATTTTCCTCCTTACACTGATCATATGTGAGTCAGTTAAAAATTGGACCTCTTTCCAATGTTGCTATTAGAGAACTGATTGTGTGTCTGTTATTTTTCTCAGGGAAGGGAAAAACTTGGGCCAGAATTAAAGCTTATGTAAAACGATTAACAAAAATGCAATATATTGCAGCTTACCAGTCCTTGAATGTAGTTACTGCGCTATTTTTTTATTTATTTTTTTTTCAGGCTAAGAACATTTCAGCTAGTACACCAATTACAGTTAATTAGAAATGCAGTGTCCCTGTCACTTTTTGTGAGTTGAAAAGGAAGCACAAAGACCTATTTCTCTATTGTGTAATCTACAAGTCCAAATGATCCATCTTGTCATGGAGATGAAAAGCATAGGCATGTTTGAAATCCAGCCTGGGTGACAACCATGGTTCCCTCCATGCATACAATGAAGAAACAAATGTAGACATGAAGGGGCAAGAAGTTGTAATTCACAGGATTCCTAAGTAAAAATGAAGGGGGGGAAAAAAAAGACAGATCCCTATCTAAAGACTGGTAAGCTGCATATGTCACCATTGTCTTAGTGCGTTTACATACTCTTTAAAGTTGAGTTCCAGGTATAGATTTTATTGCATAATTTCTCATAAAAGCTCAGTTCACACAAGTACGTCGTAGAGAAGGGTAGCAGAATTTCAATGGCGGTGCTTGAAACTACTGAGTACTCACTCCCCAATGATATCCAAAACCTATCCAAAGTCCTATCTGAAAATGTTATTTTTAATGTGCGATCCTCCCTGATCTCTGCCAGTTGCTATTGTGCTACTAGTGTCAAGTTTGTAGAGCTTTCCAGTGCAATGAACTCCAAGGGTTACAGACCCAGTCAAAATCTGCAAAAGTTTCCAATGGAAAATAGTGAGTAAATCTTTCGTTGAGCATTTTTAGATGCTGAGATATAAGATCAGAAACTGTGCTGCCATTTGAATGTGCATTGCACAGGGGAAATATCTCAAGATTGCCCTGTTCTACAAAGGAGCGCCAGAGTGTGAGCATTTTAGCGCTCAGCTCATTGAGATGTCTAAAAATGTCGGCTGGGTATGCAAGTTTTGCACACCATTGCATGTCTTCCCTCAATTCTGCATATGCAGAATTCTGTCCTACTAGAAACATTATGATTTCATCTCTTAACTCTGTCCAAGACTTTCCCCCCGTGAAAGCCAGCGGACTGCGGTGTGTAACAACAAGCTATGATGTTCTGCTCCCATTTCTTTACACAGAATTGAAAACACGTGTCTTTAAGGATCGCACATTGATATAATTCACAATGTCCACCACTCCATTCAGTACATCTGACAGTTCTTTTGGCAGGGTTTTTGCAACTAGTGCTTCCCTGTGAAGAAAGCAATGAGTGTTTCGCACATTTGTGTTCTGAACTCTGACTCTGCTGATGAAACCTTTGGCACTATCCATCATTGCAGCAGCCCCACCAGTGCAGACACTGATACAGGTCTTCCAGCTTAAACCGCCCTGTTTAAAATATTCAGTTGTCACACGATAAATCTCCTCTCCACTTGTTTTCTCAAGTAGTGGTTTGCAAAAAAAAAAAAAAAAAAAGACTTTTATATGATCTCCATCTATGAATCGAACATTTGCCAAGAGCTGAGCTGTGGATGAATCCACTTATATCAGTGGATTCATCAACATGTAAGGAAAATTTCCTAGAAGATCTGATTTTTTTTTTTTAAAGTCTTCAATATCTGCAGACATGTCATTGATTCGCCTTCCAGTCGTGCAGTCAGACAGTGGGACTTTTGCAATTTCGTATGCTGCTTGTGGGCCTAACATTTTGTTGACAATTGCTGTGCATGCTGGCAAAATGACTGTTTCTGCAATTGTTTGTGGCTTCTTAGCTTTAGCTACTATCTCGGACCACTAGATAGCTAGCCTCCAATGTTTCCTCTGACACTTTTGCACTCTTTCATCATGACTTGCTCTTGTCGTTTGTGTTGACTTTTTAAATGACTGAAATATTCTGCTCCCTTGCTCACTAGTGATGGATGATTGGATGTCAGGTGTCTTTTAAGTCTGCTTGGAACCATTGCTTCATTTGAAAATTTCATACCACATATCGTACACATAGGGAGAGGGCATGATGGATCCCCTGTAAATATGAAACCATACGATAGGTATCTGTCGTCATAATGTCTTTTCTTTGGCTTAATACTGGCCTCCACTATCCTCTCTGCTGAGTTGCTTGTGGATGATGAAGTTGAATGGTCAGATTCAGAGCTGGGCTGGGATTCAGAACCTTTCTTTGCCAAAAACATTCCATGCCAAACCATTCACTAGTTTCTAACTTCTAAGAGTTCAGTGGTTTGCACCACAGAGAGCAGAGTTCAGTAGTTTGTAAGGCACATAAGTTTGCCTTACAAATGACTGAACTCTGCATCACAAATTACTGAACTGTGAACCATGCATTCAGAGTTTAGCAGTTAAAAAAACAGTGTGTTCACAGATCTCTAGTAATGAATCACCATAGTTTGTTGTAGTTCACAGAGCTGAAATGCAGCGCAATGAAGAAAAGCCTGTGCCGCCCCCCAGCTGCCGACATAAGAGCGCTGTCCACCGTGGCTAGAGCAGGTCTCTTACCCGCTTACCACACTCCCAGAAAGCCACATGGGACATGATGATGTTATCGGTTGCTAGGACACGGGCGGGTTACCCACCAAGCTTCCTGAGTGTCGGTGACATCGGCATGCGCTTTTTACTCAGTGGACCAGCACCGCTGTAGAGAGAAAACATTGCCGGTTGGTGATAAAAATCTATTTTACATAGATGGGGGATATTTTGGCAATTTTCCTGCGGTACCCTTGGGGACTCCTCGCGGCACCCTAGGGTGCTGCAGCACCCTGATTGAGAAACGCTTGTTTAAGGAACAGCTTGCATTTTTCTCAAGGAATTCAAGGCCTTCTATGATTGGACACATGAGTGTTTTCATAGCACATGGCTTCTATGGGGCACTCGGAGAAGAGGAGGATAGGGACAACAATACCACATGAATTCCACATTTTCATGCTTGTTCTGGTTCTGTGACTCAACGTATTTCATTCTTAGGATTAATAAAGTAGTTTGACAGCTTTTATTTTTAAAAGAAGAGGTTCGCAATGGCAGCCACAGTATTTTCATCATACAGGCTTCCTTTCAAGTGCACCTATAATTGCCCATGTAGGGAAAAGCAACAGGTTCACTTTAATGCCCACATTCCCAGTTGTATGTACTCAGCTTCCATTAGCTTTATTCAAGTACAGAGTTGCTCTTAGCGCTTACCCAGTGCTGAGCATTTTCTTCAATCTCCATGTGACAGTACTAAGCCAGTTGCCAAGTCCCAAGGTCCAGCATGTGACTTCATTCTCTTTCATTAGATGGGTATGGGTATCCTTTCCTTTTCTCTCCCAACCTTTTACGGTAGCTGAGCACTGATGGGGAAGTAAATGTCTTACAGTGGAACGTAATCCATAACAACTTGATCAAAAAATAATGTTCTTTAGCAAGGAACATACGTTTTACATTAATAATTATGCTGCCAAAATTAGTGTGTGCTGTAAATTGCCTCTACGATTGCTCCAGTTTCTTCTTGCTTGAGGCTGCTGTTTTGCTGAAGCCCAGAGCCCCTGAGCAGGAGTAAATCTTTAGGCTGTCAGCATATTGGCCTCTAGTGGCTCTTAGTTTCAGCACAGTGCCAAAAAATAGAGAGCAACTGAGCA